TTTATTTCTGGGCTCTCAGTTATGTTCCATTGGTCTGTGTGTCTGTTTTTGTGCCAGTGCCATGCTGTTTTGATTACTATAGCTTTGTAGTATATTTTGCATTCCAGGGAGTGTGATACTGCTAGATCAGATTGTGGACAGCAAATGCATTTGAGAAAGCTCCCAGGTCTTCTGTGGTGCCTGATCAACTTCCCTCCTTACCCTTGTGAAAAAACCATTGCCCTAAACTGCCTTCTTAGCGTTTCTTAAAACCTCATTCTCCATACCTTCCCAATGAAAATATTCCTTAAACTGGAATATTGCCCTAAAACTTGGAACACCTACAGGAAAATGTTTTATACTAGGCTCTGTTTTTATCAGGTTTCTTGCAGTCATTTTCTAAATGGAATTTGCTTCATCATTACCTAGAAGAGAAGTAAAGAAGCCTATTCTGTGTATTTCCTTTGTTTCAGGGCACAATTGTTATCCATAGCTGCATTGCCATGCAGAAAACTGAATGCTCATTGTAGACGGATTCAGACAAGCCTAGAACTAGTCATTAAATTAAATTTCTGAGAGCACACATCTAGATAGATAATGGTGTGTCTGGATCAACATCTTGCTCTAAACCGTCATCTTAAATATGCCACACAGCTAAGGCTCTTGCCTGGCCATCTCATTCAGACACTGACCTGTTACTGAACTGATGAGTTATTTCTCTGAATAGGCTGAACTACTCATATGGACACTCATTTTTGAAATTTATTAGATCATACGATAATGAAATATGGAGTCAGTTTTTAGATTTAATTATGTAGAGCACCTAACTTGGCTACGGAGCCATGTGTGTTCAGCCATATTTAAAACAGAGTCTGTAGTCTTCATCCTACATTGACTGCATAGGATAGTCATTGTGTAGATTTGGTTCATTCAGTGGTTATTGAGCTCCTACAGTCAGTCACTGCCAGGCTCTGAAGTTTGCAAAGATGACTATGACTTTTCCTCTGCCTTTGAAAGGCTCCTAATCTATTGGAGGATTCAGATACGTAAACACTTTCAGCAGTGTGCTAAATTTCCTATAAGAGGCATATGCAAAGTTTAAGGAGAGTTCCTTGAGAGCAGAGGGCTCTGCCTCTTACCTCTAGTCTCAGATCTTTGCAAAGCCTTTGGCACCTAGAAGATACCCAGTAAATATGTTTGAATTGAACTGGATTACTGTTTATTATTTCTGCCTTATAATATCCAAACTACAACTAGTTCTGAATGTCCATCCAAAAAAGAGACCATGTTTTAGCTAAAAGTGACTTCATGATGGATGTCGAATCAGAGATTACAGAAAGTTCTGGAGATTTGAAGATGGATTTAATAAATAGAAATAAAAGACTCAATAAAGAAGATACACATGTTCACACACATGCACGCAGACAAAAGCAATGAAGGGCAGGGAAGTGAAACTAATTAGGAAAAGAAAAAGACATTGAAATCAGAATTAAGTGACAGCAGCATTTACTGGTCAGCCTGTTAGAATACGTGTTGCTTGAGGGAAGAGAGGCTTTCCTTTGTGTTTCTAAGTATCCTTTACAGAAGTAGCCCAGCTCAGTAAATAGTCATTTAATTATAACGACCAGAAATTCCTCATTATGAAGATAAAAGATTTGATTTGGGGATGAAAAAGAAGAGAAATAAGAACAAAAGAGGTGGATTTTTAAAATGAGGAGTATCCCACAATAAAATGATGTCTATGGCATGTTTTTCTGCAAATGTTGGAGCCAGGCCTTAATGGAGAGAGTTGCTAATTAAAATGCAATTTATCTGGTTAAGGGAGATCAGCCAGGAGAACACTGAAGTTTTCTGTCCTTCCTTCTCCCTACCTGACTAAGGAAGGAGGCACATCATGGTATGTTATTGTTAATACAGTGGGAAAAACAGAATCTGGTTTATATCACTTTGAAAATAAAGTTAACACCATATGTTGTGCCCACTGAGAGCCATTATGATAATGCTTCCGTCAGAAAGTGTATAATTGCTCAGCTCAGAAATGGCACCAAGTCACAGAACACTGACACCAGCACATTTTCTGCAATTAGTGTTTGCTGCTTCTTTCTCTGCCAGGTTAAAAATAATAATAATAATGATAAGAGAGCCCCTCCTCAACCTCTGAAATATTTATTTTCTTGTTATGTCTTGTTTGTAGGCAAATTCTTATTTGGGCAAACAATCACTGTCTTCGGAATGAAAGATTTTTTAATATATACTCATGACCCTCATTTTTTTTCATTGAAATGAGGTTTTATTTTTTTTTTTCTCCTTCATTCCAATTCTACCTTCTCCAGGAGCATATCCTGCAGTGATCACTCCCTCTTCTGAAATATTAGTGGAACATCAATTATCTAGGCTATTTATTATTCACGATTTCCTGCCTTGGATAGTCTCTTTTGTTAAGTTAAATCGGGGGACTTTAGCCTAGTCCACGGATGAGGGCCAGGGGTCTTTGAGCATCCTATAACTATTTGCAGAACCGTGTGGGAAAGTATCATTTGTGTATTTTCCTGGGGAATCAGTTTCTTTCATTAGATCATAAAGGAGGTTTGGGAAACAAAAAATCTCAAGTATTTGAAATCTTCACTGAAAGTTCATAGAAAATATAGGTTCTCTCTTATATTGCTTTGGCCAAGTCTAGCTTAATTTCCTAACACTTCAACAGTGTTTACTATAGACAGTCATGGTTCTAAGTGCCTTGCTTTCTTAACTCAGTTATTCCCTACAGCAATTCTATAAATAGATTCTATTATTATTCCTGTTTTGCAGATGATAAAACTGAGGCAGAGGCTCATAAAGCTGGTAAGAGGAAAGTCAGGCTTTGCACTCAGGGAGCTAAGCTTTAGAAACCACCCTTAATTACTGCACTGGATCAACTGTGTATGTAACAACCCGGAATTACATGCATTCATTAGAAGGTCCATAAATAAATGCTCATTTGTTTTGATTTATTATTATTATAGGTTTCTGAACAGCAAGTTTGCTTTTTCACAGTCTCAAGATTACAACCAGTGGAAATACATCATCAAACTAATTCCATATAATGTTCATTTATTTTGTAAATACTTATTACCCATCTGCCATTACACATTACACATCTGTGCTGAGCATTGTGCAATGATTCACTTACATTATCTTTTTTAATACTTGCAGTTGCCCCTGATGTAAGTATGGTTATCCCCATCTTATAGATGAGAAAACTGAGGTCCTGAAAGACTAAATAACAACCTCACCTTATTCATGAAGTGTCAGAAGAACAGTCCAACCTATGTCTCTCTCCCTCAGATGCTGCATCTCTTAGCATCTACGCTGGGCTGGGTTTTCAGTTAGATGCAACAGATATTGCTAAAACATCTTCTAAACTTGGGTACAAAATTTGTGGGGATCAGCCCAGTCTGAGGCAGCATCTTATGAGCGGATAGGCATGAGAGGCTACCTCATCTTTGGTTGGAGTAAATCATCATTGTATTTACTGTGCTCGTTCTTTCCATTTCAGTTTTTACTCTTAGACCCTCCACTGAACTCAAGACTCACACAAACAACTGCCTTCCTCCTGTCACCCCCTGAATGTCCAATAGGTATCTCAAGCTTACGTTTTCAGAATGAGATGCCTGATGATACATTTAAAACTGCTCCTCCCTCATTCTTCCCATTTCCAATAATAGCAATTCTCTCTTTTCAGGTGCTTGGGCCAAAATCATTGAGGTCATCACTGACTCTTTTCTTTCACTCATACCCAATATCCAAATTTTTGGCAAGTGACATTGAATCTAGGAATGTAATATATAAAAGATCCAACCACTTCTCATCCCTTCCAAGTTCGCTGGTCCAGCTTACCATCATTTATCACCCAGATGATTGCAGTAGCCTTCTTATTGTTCTCCCTACTTCCACCCTTATGCCCCTAGAGTCTAGTCTCATCTGCGTGGCCAGAGTGACCTTATTAAAACTTAAATCAGGTTAAGTTACTCTGATGTTGTGTTGTCCAATATGGAAGACACATTTGACTATTGAAGTTGAAATTTAAATGAATTAAGATGAAATAAAACTTAAAATTCAAAATCGTCCCATTCACGACAACATGGAGGGACCTTGAGGGTATTATGTTAAGTGAAATAAGCCAGATAGAGAAAGACAATCTCTGTATGACTCCACTCATATGTGGAGGTTAAACATGTAGACAAAGAGAACAGATTAGTGGCTACCAGGGGAAAAGGGGGGTGGGGGGTGGGCGCAAAGTGTGAAGTGGTGCACCTACAACATGACTGACAATAATGTACAACTGAAATTTCACAAGGTTGTAAACTATCATAAACTCAATAAAAATTTTTAAAAAAATCATTTTCTCAGTCACACTAGCTACAGTTCAAATGTTCCATAGCCACAAGTGGTTAGTGGCTACTATATTGGACAATGCAGATATATAACATGTCCATCAGTCCAGAAAGTTCTATTAGATAGCGCTACAATGACTTCCCATCTCACACCACATGACTTGGCACCATATCCACTCCCATCACCACCTATCCAACCTTATTTCCTTCCACTCTACTCTTTGTTCACTCATTTCCAATCTCACTGGCTTCCTGACTAGTTCTTAACATGCCAAGCATGTTCCTGCCTCAGCTCCTTCACAGTTGCTCTTCTCTCGTCCTGGAGTAATCTTCCCTCTGATATCTACATGGCTTGCTGTCATGTCTCTGCTCAAATATCACATTATTAGAGACTTTCTGTGACCACCCTACATAAAACAGCAACTCATCCAACTCTTTGAATCTCCTTATTCTTTGCTCTGATTTATTTTTCATTAGCAATTAGCACCATCTGATGTGTGATTTATTTACTTATTTATTTAACTTTCTCTCTCCCACCCGCACTTTACTGACTGCTCTACTCCAAGCCCCTAGTGTACGTACTGCCTGGCGGAGTAGGTAAATAAAAGGAAGAACAATTGAAAGCATGAACTTTGTTCTGTTGCACAGGAACCAGTGGCTGGAGAAAGCTATGGAAAAAGTACGGACCGCGCTTGCCCCGGGATGACCTCTGCCTATATGTCACATCTGTTGACCTCACTCAAATGCTGGACAAGTTGGGGATTAAGTATGAATGTTACGACCTTCTGTCCACCATGGACATATCTGACTGCTTTATTGATGGCAATGAAAATGGAGACCTGCTTTTGGATTTTTTGACAGAAACCTGCAACTTTAATTCAACAGCACCACCTGATCTCAAGGCAGAAATTATGAAAGATCTGCAAGAACCTGAATTCAGTATAAAGAAAGAGGGAAAGGTTCTTTTTAATAATAACCTGAGTTTCATAGTGGTTGAGGCATAAATATCATGAGAGTGTCTTCAAAAATTATATTTTGAACATGTTCATCATTCACTTATTTCTGTATTAAAATTACAAATATATCTCATAACATAAATAAAGCATTGTCTCTTTCATGTAAAACCTAGAAAATTCCAAGACATTCTTGGAGTTCCATGTAGAATCATATGACTGCTGGTCTTATCCCCATCCTTTCTCCAGGTAAAGAGACAGCTTGCAGGCTAAATACTGCGTCAGCTGGAAAAATGAGACAACTAAGTTTCACTGGCTTATTGACAATAAAATCCTTTCCATTTGTTGATAGTACTGGAATTTCCCAGAATACTAATAAAGTGTATGCTATGAATTCTTTAAATACTAGTAAAGTATATACTTATTGATACCTTGAACACTAAGAAAGTATATGTTTACTGATTTTCCCCCTTTTGCAAAGAAGTATTTGTCTTTGTACATTCCTCTATTGTAGTTTCTGTCTTATTTTTATTGATTACTAAAAAGTAAGCACTTTTGGGATATTACAAAATTAACTCTTTGTCATGTGTTGCCATTTCCTCCTATTTTGTTTTCCCTTTTAATTTTATCTATGATTTTATAATATTTTGTTTCTTGATATACTGATGTTTTTCTATTTTATTCAGTCAAATTTAATTTTTTTCTTTTTTTAATTTCTGGGTTTTTGACACGTGTGTGTGTGTGTGTGTAAGACTGTCCCTGAGCTAACATCTGTGCCCATCTTCCTCTATTTTGTATGTGGGAGGCTGCCACAGCATGGCTTGATGAGTGGTGTAGGTCCATACCCGGGATCTGAATCCATGAATCCTCAGCCACTGAAGCAGAGTGTGCAAACTTAACCACAACACCACTGGGCTAGCCCCCTGACACATTTTAAAAAGGTCTTCTAAAACCAAAGTTTTAAAATATTAACATTTTTTATCATAATAATTTTATAGTTTCACTTTAAAAAACTAAATCTTTGATATGTTTGAAATTTATGTAAGTGTAAAGAGTGAGGCTGAGAACAGCTGTTTCCCCTCAGAAAGATAGCCAGCTGTATCAACACAATTTACTTGAAAAGAAGAAAACCTCCACTGACTTAAAATACACATTTTATCATTTACTAAATTTCCAGAAAAGCTTGAATCTATTTCAATACTCTATCGTGCCTTATGTCACTCAGTCTAAGATCTCCTCTAAGATCAAGTCATCTTCGGACAAGAGGATTTCAGGGGATTTTTGAAAACTTATTTGATATTTTTAATTTTATCTTTGATAATAAACATCTATCATTCTTATAAAAACAATACATCTATTTAGATAAGTAAGTAATTTGATAATAAATAAATATATTTTTAAAGTGAGTCAATAATTACCACTCCCTGTTGGAAACAAAACAAGAGTAAGGTATTACTCAAGAGCTCATGAATCCTGATTCTCCAGTGATGGAGCCTTCCACACAGCATGATATTCACTCTTTCACACTATAGAGCTACCGCTTAATGCTGCAGTAGAATCATTTGGAAGAGGTACTGCCCCTCCCTGATGATCTAGCTGAGGCCCAGGGAGTACACTGGAGGACAGAGCCTATTCATGCTGACAAACCAAGCTTTGTTGCTCATCATAAGTAAAACTGACTTGCATTGCTCTCTTTTCTTGGACAACTTCATCAATGTTTTTTGAATTATAAGTTCCAACAGATGAAATGACAGTTATCCAATCAGATTCCTGAATATGAACCCTGAACCATTAATCATACTGATATGTACTACTGACAAAGGAAGTACACGAGGCACACATAATTGATGGATATGGGCCATGATGATCTTAAAAAACTTCACCAAAAGGATGGAAATCAAGACTACAGGGCGAATTATGGCCTTTTCTAAAAAGCACACGCTTAAAGATAGAAAAGAAAAGCAGTCTATAGATGGATATTTGTAAATATGGCCCTTTTCGCATCTCTATATAGCCCTTAAAATCTCACCTGCTTCAATTTAATGTAACGGGAACAATCAAGATTTTTTAAAGAGAAAATCCTCATGAGTACCTACCAGTCAGTGGTGTAAAGCTGCATAGGTGCAAGGGATGGAACTGTTGGCTTCTGCCTGCACTGCATGATATTACAAAGGATTTGTGGCAGTCACATATTGACTTTTCAACTTTGTTCTTGTGGTTCTGAAAAAAGCTTGCAGCATGAATTGGAATGTTGTTTTATACATCATTGTACATCTCCCAGTGATTAACATGGTGCCATGCGTATGGAAGATGCTCAATAATGGTGTTCAGTGAATTCTTTCTCAAGTATCTATCTTACACCTGTGTGTTTATATTCTTATTGTAAACATATCTCAAGAAACACAAGAAAACTGTTTGTTGCCCTTAGTATTAATATAAACCTTAACTTTATTTAAAGTGTTTCTGGCCCTTTTTTAAATTTGTTGTTAGGGAGTATTGCCAAAATCCAAAGAGAAAACATTAGGTGGAGCACAGTATTTGAAGACCTTGATATTTGCTTATAAAAATTGGCAACTTTCTTGATTGAAAGCTCTGCCAATCTGGGCAAAAAAATTTTCAAATTTCTGGTGTGCATCCATATAAACAGATGCAAGGGTCACACAGAATACTAGATCTTAAGTCTGTGAAACTGCACAGACCCAAATATATATTTAATGTATTTAAAATGTTTATTTAGTAAGAAGGCTAACAGAATATTTTGTCATATTAAAAGCATATTTGTAGGTATTTATCTGATCAGAATATTATTTCTAAGAAAACAAGGACTTCTTGCTAAGCCCCACAGGGGAATAAATGTATAAAATAGTCTTGTTAGATGGAGTGGCAAGACCAGAAATCTTGGGTTCAAATCCTGGTTTTGTTAATTACTTGCTAGGTGATTTCAGGCAACTTATTTTTTTACTATTCTCACATTTCTTCATCTTCAAAATGAAGATAATCATAGTTCTTGCCTCAGAGGATTGTCATGAGGATTCCAGGAATTAAGCTACATAAATACACTCATAAAGTGTCAGACTCATGATGAATTTCAAAAATATTAACTATGATTATTAATTGCTCATAAAAATTCAATATAAAATGCAAAGAAGACAAAAAAAGTTAAAATTAAGGAAAATTATGACTGAAGCTAAAGGAGTCAACCTACTTCCTTGACCTTTCTAGCCAAAGGCATATGGCCTTTCCGTGTCTATTAGAGCTGAGCTGGTGCTTCACAAAGCCCAAGGTGCCACCAGGACTGGGACAGTTAAGCCTCATCTTAGGGAATCTGCCTGCCTGATGCTCTAAGTGCTTATTCTCTGTACCATGAGAAGTGGCCCCCTCCCATCCCTGTCTGAGGGTGGGCAGCTGACAAGGATGACAACTCATAGGCTGGCCAGAAATTAACTGGAGTGGTTTCTCTAGAAAAATATAAAATGGATTCTTTTAGTTCTTCTCCTAGAAATTTGGAATTACAAATTTTAGGAAATTAGGCCTTGATTCTATCACTCATTCATGAAATATACATTCAACCAATACTTACTGTGTGAGGCATTGCTCTAAGCAAGGAACGTACTGTAATAAAGAAAACAAAGTTTGTAACGTCCCTAACCAGATTTCTATTGGGAGAGCAGACAAAAAAATAAATATATGCCAAATAGTGATAGGCACTGTTAAGAAAATAAAAGTAGATAAGGAGAAAAGGGTACCAGAGGGTATAATTTTAGTTGGAGTAGTCAGGGAAGACATTTTTAAAAGGGTAAGATTGTGGACAGAGATTTAAATGAAGTGAAGGAGCAAGCCATGTGAGGAACTGGGAGACCATTTCAAGAAGGAAGTGCAAGGACAAAGGCCCTGATGTGGGTGGGAATGAGCTTACAAATCTGAAGAACAATCAGGAGGCTAGGTGGCTTTCTACATTAGCTGAGCTGACAAGTCATAAGATAGATTCAAGTCCGGAGGAGGCACTGTGGGCCAAATGCGGGAGGAATTCACTAGGATGCCACAGTTAGAAAGAGAGGAATGGAGCAGACTTGAAGAGAGAACGAGGGATGCCGGGAGTATAAGACCACATGGCCTTTGAATGAGAGATGAGCTTTGGCTGCCTCAAGTAATGCTCTTCACCATTTCCAACTCCTCTCTATGTCTATCCTGAAGACAAATACCCTTTTCCCCAAGGTATCCTTGTGGGTGTCTGCCTCTGCCCTCTCAAATGTCCTAGTTAGAACAGCATGTAAGATCTCATCTGATTCTTAATGAGTTTGAAAGATTGATGATTATCCCATTTTGAAAGTGAGGAAGCTGAGATCCTGACAAGTTAGTTCAGCTTACTTAGCCCAGCAATCAAAGCATGTTAGTAACAGGTGTTAAGCTAGACCCTATACCTTCTGACTTCACACTATGTGTCTACATATTAGGCAAATTAAATTTATGATCCTCTTTCATCTTAGATGCAGCTTATCTTTAAAAAGAGTGAGACTTTATAGAACTAAATTGCCTTTGCCCTCAAATGTCAGTCTGCACACTGAAGGGGATCTGATTACAAAAGGGAAGATGAAGCAGTCGAAGGGTCAAAGGGTAGTATAAAAAATCAACTCCTTGAATGATGAACTAGCACTCTTTCTAAACACCAGGCTTCACTAATGTTTGTTTTAATCTAGTCATAAATACCTGGGTTATCCCAACCATTTGCCTTGACTTTTGCCTTTATTTCTCTACCTCTGTTCCTACGAGGTCCCAGGCACCATCAATTTCATGTTTAAATTATCTGCCACCCACATCCTAGTTCTCCTATGATTCATACACTGTGCAATACACATCCATAGTATGCGATCAACTAATGCAGGGTAGTTAAAGCTACGGATCGTGTAACCCATTTCTCAATGTGATATACACCATGAAAAGGCAACTGCAGTAAAAAGGGAGATGATTTAAGAGCCTCCCTGGGCAACGACAGTCACAATTTCCAAACGTGCCAAAAATTCATTAGGGCTCCATGTCAGATTGCCATAATCTCTGTACCAATGGATTAATAAATACAGTGATGTGCTGTTCTGGAGGCTGCAATGACACATTGTGGATATTCTGTATAAGCAGCGTCTTCCTATGATCATATTCTTCTCTTGAAGAATTATCTGTGTTTCCTGATTCGTCTTAATGATACTTGAAGGACTTTGCAAACAACCTGCCCAGGGTAGAAAATGTTGAAATAAATCACAGGGGCCATCAACCACAGTCCAAGCTTGGTGAGTTCTCCAAAGACATTTGATACAGAAGATGCAGGAAAATGTCAGTACCTCTATTTATGTCTTACAGCTAACTAATTTCATGCTAATTTCATTTCTATACTGTGATTCCTTTTTCTAC